GGTGTGGTGTGGTGTGGTGTGGTGTGGTGTGGTGTGGTATAGTGTGTTATACTTTTCTATGATGTAGTTTATAGTGAAGTCTTAGGATAAGGGGAAGCTTATTGAAGTATTATAGGTTAAAACATCTTATCAATTCTGGAGATGGTTTTTGTCTATCGGTAAAGAGAATCTCAAGAAGTACAACAATGAGAACGGCACCAAAATCATTATTATGCAGGAGCAAACAATCAGACAAACTGATCTGAATCGCTTGTGGTAAGTAGTTGGAAATTAAGTGAAGTTAATCATGAATAATATATTTATTTTAGCCTGTTACTACGTATCCAAATCAAGGAGTGCTATCAAAATGCTAGGAAGCGTGCTCCGGAAATTCGTATCAGACATAACAAGGTCGAGATAAGTGGAGTAGGCACAGTAAGTGAAATATATTTAATAGACTGAGATATGTAAAAGGTGTTTTAGTATGATCCAGTAGTACTATGTCGTCGTCTGAAATGGAATCTACCTGAGTGGCATGGTACGCCCATGGAGGAGCTAATGGATCTTCGTTTAAAGAAGGAACAGGAGGTCAGTCGAAAGAAGCTTAGTGAACGTGTAGTGTAATTTAGCATTTCAGGCAGGTAGCTTGGTTTTGGGAGAGCTCGCGTTACCTGGACTCACTGCTGAGGAGCAATCAGAGGGAAGGATGCTGCAGGCCAACAAGGAGAACTGGACGGAAGTGGTAAGCGATTTTATTTTATTTTTATTCAGAAAAAATTTTTTATTATATTATAAATTAATATTATTGATTTTTATTTATTTATTTTTATTCAATTTATTTAAAGAATAAAAAACGTATTTTAATAGGCTTATTTTGGTTATTAAGGTCAAAAAGAAGAAACGTCCATCACAGGATAGCCGTGACGACAATGGAGCTACCAAAAAATACAAAAAAGTAAGTAGCATAGAATAATTTTACTTATAGAGTGTTACGATTAAAAGTTTTATTTTAGGCGGATATGGCTTCGACTTCCCGTGCATAATCTTCCGGTGAAAATATTAGGCGTCTCAGGATAAAAGGATTTTTGACTGTTATGTTGAAGTTGTTATTGTTGTTTGAGTAAATAAATACTTCTTTGCTGGTTCAATAACAGCTAGATAATTATTGCAATTGAGGTTGAAAGAAATATTAGAGAAAATCATTGATGAAAATAATTTTATCCTAAACAAAAAATGTTATAAAACAAGGATAGAAAATATTCAAAGCCGGATTATGTCTCAGAATGGCTTATACATGAGAATGCTATCCGTTGATAGCTGACCAGTTGGTCTAAAAAGGAGAATGCTATCCGTTGATAGCTGACCAGTTGGTCTAGAAAGGATAATGCTATCTGTTGATAGCTGACCAGTAGGTCTAAAAGGA